TGAGACAGCTCTTTCTTGACCATCACTCAAGGGAGGAAAACAAACTCTGAAGACCAAATTCCTGCTGGTGTTTCAGCTGCCCTTGGCACCCCCTGCACATTCCTTGGGCTCTCTGCTTCCCAAATAATAGGAGCCAGTGTTTGGGCAGGCTCTGGGGGTGGAATTGTATCTAAATTCATCATCTCAGGGTATTTTTGGCAGCATTCTCTTGATGACACTTGTAGACAACAGCCCCTCTGGCACTCAGTGTGGGTGTCTGGTAATGCCCCCTCCCACCCTTCTCGCAGTAAAAATAGCACAAGAAATTGTTCTTTTCTCAAACATCTCCCCCCAAAATGTCATTTTTCATCTGCACCACACAAGATTTCGCTGGTTTGTTGGTAGGGATTTATTGTGTTAGATTTTATACACTTCTTAAGTGGGGAGTGAGTAATAAAAATGAGATTACAGGAATTGCTTGGTGGGGAACAGACCAGACCTACAATTTAGCTTGCTTGTTCCTGCAAGCTGAGGAACTTCAAACTGATCTGCAAATTGCAAAATAAATTTAGAAAATCACTTTTCTGTCAGTACAAAGCCTGTCCAGCATGTGGGTGAATGGCAGAATCAATGTCAATGTAAGGAACTCAGAGCAAGATCAAAAGAGTTACAGGCTCGTGTAGAACAGGGGAAATTCTGGAATAAATGTGACTTCAAATGACAGCAAAAATGGGTGTCCTGAGGATGCTGTGGGCTGCACTCAGCAGTTCAGTCAAGGATGGGACATTGCCTTGGTGGCCTTGTGCAGGACACTCCCTTCACTGTGCCAGTTCTGTCATCCATCCTTTCCTTTCCTTTCCTTTCCTTTCCTTTCCTTTCCTTTCCTTTCCTTTCCTTTCCTTTCCTTTCCTTTCCTTTCCTTTATCAAAAGGAGGAAGGTGAAATAACCCCTTTTAAGTCCAATTCATCTGTGATCTGGGAGGGTTTTTATGCATTCACCTTGTTCAGATGAACTCAAAGTGCATTTTCTAAGCTTCACACCATGGCCTCGTTGTCTGCTTATTTTCTTCTGACACCTCCCCTTTGCCTCATCTCCTCAGGCTCAATAAATGCAGATTTCAGACAGAAGATGGGCACAACCCATCTATGCCTTGGAAGAAGTCAGCTCTCTTTATTCCCTGAGATTGCTGCTCAAACTGATCCCTGTGGCACAAGTTTGGGGAGAAGCTGAGAGGGTGGCAGTGCCTGGCTGAGCAATGCATTTCCTTCAGCTCTTCTCACCTCCACATCCTTATTTCTTCCTTCGTTTTTTATTTTTGCCTTGTGTTTTTGCACTTTCCTTTGGGAAGAGGAGGAAGCAGCATTGCTATTCCACAGGTACATTTTGTGCAGTGCTACAAAGTCCCTTAAGTGATGCCCACCCCGTTTATTTTTAACCTTATAAACCATCCTCATCCTTCTGCAAACCCCAGGAGAAGTTACCGGGGAAGAAATGACTTTGGATCACGTGGAGCACAAACACAAAGCCTTAATTAACGAGAGCTGCCCCCACTAATTGCAGGGGAGGAGCTTGTGCTGCTCCTCACCGGGAATTACAGCCCGTGTGTTTCTTCTTTCCTTCATCTGGGGCTGTGTGGGTTTGTATGAGTGATAGAAATTATAGAATATGGAATAACGCCCATGGAAAGGTGTCCCAGCCCATGGCAGGGATTGGAATAGGATGAGATTTAATCCCTTTGGGATTCTGATTGTGGTACAATTAAAAGCTGTCAATTCTCAGGCTCTGTGCAAGATCACCAACAATTAAAAGGTTTGACACAAGATCACCAATAATTCAAACCTGTAAATTTGCACACTCAACATGAGATCACCAACAATTAAAACCTGTACATTCTGAGGCTCAATACAATATCACCAACAATTAAAACCTGCAAATTTTCAGGTTTAACACAAGATCACCAACAATTAAAACCTGTACATTCTGAGGCTCAATACAAGATCACCAAAAATTAAAACCTGTATATATCTGAGACTCGATACAAGATCAATAATAATTAAAACCTGTACATTTTCAGGCTCAATACAAGATCATCAACACTTAAAACCTGAAAATTTGCACACTCAACACAAGATCACCAATAATTCAAACCTGTAAAATTTTCAGGTTTGAAACAAGATCACCAACAATTAAAACTTAAAATTCTGAGGCTCCTGAAGGGAATTTTTTTGGCAATTCAAGGTTTAGGATTGGATAAACCCCTGGGAAGCTGTGTAGGATTGCACAACAATTCCAGCAGTTCGCTGGGATCTGGGCTGGGCACCCACGAGACACAGCATCGTGCCTGGAATTTAAAATACACGGCAAACAGGACGAGCAGGTGTTACTAGCTGTGGGAAGTGTGACAAGTGCTAAAGTGATAAATGTGCCTCCAACCCCTTTCTCCGTGCTGACAGCCCATCCAGACGGCTCAGCTGATGGCCGCACGCTTTGAGGGGGAAAAAAAAAGAAAAAGGAAAAAAAAAAAAGGTGTTTTTTTTTTTCCTGAAATATTCCCTGAGAGCTTCGCCAACGCCGGTGCTGGGAGGGGAAAAGACACGGGGAGATCATTTGTGAGACTGCAGCGGGATGGAGCCGAGGATGAGGGGGATCCTGAGGGATCCGAGCACATTTTGGGGGCTCTGGGCACATCCTGAGGGATCCGGGCACATTTTTGGGGCACATCCCTGTGGCTCCGGGCACATTTTGGGGGCTCCGGGCACATTTTGGGGACACATCCCGAGGACTCCTGGCACATTTTGGGGGCTCTGGGCGCATCCTGAAGGCTCCGGGAACACCCCCAGGGCTCCAGGCGCTTTTCTTTTTTTTTTCTCGTCCCCATTTTTTGGGGGCTCCGGGCACACTCCGAGGGCTCAGGGCACATCCCGAGGGCTCTGGGCACATCCTGAGGGCTCCGGGCAGGGGCTCAGGGCACATCCCCGGGCACATTTGGGGATTCTGGGCACACTCCGTGTTCTCCGAGCACATTTTGGGGGCTCCGGGCGGGGGCCCCGGGCACATCCTGAGGGCTCCGGGCACATTTTGGGGGCTCCGGGCACATCCCTGAGGGCTCCGGGCAGGGACTCCGGGCACATTTTGGGGGCTCCGAGCACATCCCTGGACACATTTTTGGGGCTCCGGGCACGGGTTCAGGGCACACCCCGTGTTCTCCGTGCACATTTTGGGGGCTCCGGGCACATCTCCCTGAGGGCTCCGGGCAGGGACTCCGGGCACATTTTGGGGGCTCCGAGCACATCCCTGGACACATTTTTGGGGCTCCGGGCACATCTCCAGGCTCCGGGCAGGGGTTCACGGCACACCCCGTGTTCTCCGTGCACACCCCGTGTTCTCCGTGCACATTTTGGGGGCTCCGGGCACACTCTACGCTCCCCGGGCTGGCGCTTCCCTCAGCGCTGCCCTCAGCCAAGATGGCGGCGGCGGCGCGCGCGGCTCTCGCGAGGCGGGGGCGGGGCCGGGGCCGGGCGGGGCTCGCGGGCCCTGATGGCGGCGGGGCCGCCCCTCACGGCGGGGCCGGGCGGCCATGGAGCACATCAGCACCCCGAAGGTAACTACGGCACAGCACGGCGCACCTCGGCACACCTCAGCACATTTTATTACACTTTATTACACTTTATCACACCTCATCACACCTCATCACACTGCACACACCGCGGCTCCACGCCGCGGAACGGCCCCGGAGCCCTCGGGGCTGAGGGTGGGTGAGGGAGGGTCACAGCCGCCCTGCCCTGGTGTTGGTGGCTCCGGCGCTTTGTGGGGAGGGGGTTTCAGTGTTTTAGTCCTTGGCAGAGCCGAGGTGCTTTGGGGGTAATCCCGCAATGTTTTATTTCTCTCAGTCCCAATGACTGAACCAAAGGGTATCTTTTTTTTCTCTCTCATTGAATTAAGTCAAACAGGAGCTCCGGGAATGCTGTACTAAATAGAGTCGCATTTATTCAGGCAGCAGTTGATGGTTTAATTTTCTCTTTCACATTATTAGTGGGTTTATTCTGTAGGATGTTAGTTTGGGGATGCTCCTACTCCTGCATGCCTGTAGTGCCCTGAAAAGGGCAATATTATATTTAATAGGTATATTTGCTGAAAAACACGACCTGCTAAGAGGACACTGAGCCCAGGCCTCAGCTCTCCAATTTATTTTGCTGAGATTTTCATGATGTACTTCAGACATAAAGGAAGCTCACACATTCAACACCCAGAATTAACTGTCATTTACTGCTAAATGTTTTTGTTGTCCATCCAATTATTTTTCCCTATTATTTCTGCTTAATGGTGAAAGGAGAATTCCATCTGCATTCATTAGGCAGCAAATAGGCCAGGAGAAAAATCAATCCAGCGCTGTAACATATTTTATGATGTCTGCGCTGATGTTCTTTAAAGCTGTTTTTTATTAATTAGCTTGGTGTGGTTTCTGAAATACACTTGGAGGCCAGGAAGTGAGTTACAAGAAGTAGCTACTGACAGGGAATGAGCAGTGGGAAGTCAGAGTGGAGAGGGCTGTTCCTTTCAGAGCAACATGTTGATCACCCTGAGCACAGCCAAGTCTTTCCTTTGCAGTCCTTTGTCTTGTTATTTCTGCAGCCTCACACAGTAACAAACTGGGATCATCTTGGCTACAAATCCAGTAATCCTGTTAGGATTTGCTGGTGCTGAACCACGGCTGTTTGCTTAACCTTTATGGCTTTAATTCATGGAGAAATAATTTGAGTTTATGGTGTAAGGCTGACTTGGTGTTGCAGGGGGGGGATTTAAATTCCTGCGTTTTTCTGTCTTGCTTCATGAGCAAGAAGTTAGAAGTGGAAAGAATGGAGTTCAACAGGTGCTTAGGTAGTTCTAATTCTATCGAAGCTGGATTTGCAGGAATTTCTCCATGGAAAGGGTGGCCAGGCCTTGGAAGGGGCTGCCAGGGAGGTTTGGAGTGCCCATCCCTGGGGGTGTCCCAGGAGCAATTGGGCACAGGCTGGACTTGATGATCCCAAAGGGCTTTTCCAGCCTCAGCAATCCTGGGATTGTCTGGATTTTCCTGCTGCAGGTGGAAAATGTGAAGCTGCTGGATCGCTACGCCAACAGGAAGGCAGCGAGCGGGACCCTGTACCTGACAGCCACACACCTGATCTACGTGGATGCCTCTGCTGAAGTCAGGAAGGAAACATGGGTATGGTGGGCTGGAACACACCTGGAAAAGCTGCTTTGGCTCCCAGGATGGATTAGATGGGGAGAATGGATTGTCCCATTCCACCCCTGCCGTGGGCAGGGACGCCTTCCACTGTCCCACTCTGCTCCAGCCTGGCTTTGGACACTGCCAGGGATCCAGGGGCAGCCACAGCTGCTCTGGGAAATCCATTCCAGCCCTCCCCACCCTCCCAGGAAACAATTCCTTCCCAATATCCCATCCCTCCCTGCCCTCTGGTAGTGGGAATCCATTCCCCCTTGCCCTGGAAGGTAATGCTCTCATTCCCAGAGGGAACAGGTTTGGGAATTCCAGAGCTGTAGGAGTCTTTTAGAGCATTTTGGTGCCAAATGCTTCCCAGAAACAGCTGGTTCAGAAGGAAATGAGCACAGTGGTGACATGAGTTGATAGAGTTCACTCATGGAATTAGTGTCAGTTCAAGGAATGTAAAAAAATTGTGTCATTTCCTATCTCCCACTCAGTATAAAGACCACTAAATGTGAATTTGCAGCTTTTAGAGGTGCAGAATTAGCACTGAAATGAGCCTAATTTATTAATTCTGAGGTGAAATGGGAATGCCAGAATGTATTTCATATGGAGGGGAAAGAAAAGCAACGTGCACCAGGTAAACTGAGCTGCACATCTGCCTCTGACAGTAATTTATGTAAATCTGTGTTTTTTCAGTCCTGCTTTCAGTCCTGCTTTCAGTCCTCCAGTTCCCTGTTTTTTGGTGCAGTTTATATTTGATAAATGCCACAAATAAACTCATTTTCTGCTGCTGCTCAGCTGCAGGAAACATAAACAGCTGATTGCATTACAGAGGTTTCCTATCTGCTTTATCAGTAACAAATGATATTTATTCTCTGTTTATTCAGTGACAAATGATGTTTATTCTCTTTTCTCCAGATCCTGCACCACCACATCTCCAGTGTGGAGAAGCTGCCCCTGACCACAGCTGGCTACCCCCTGCTCATCCACTGCAAGAATTTCCACGTGGCTCACTTTGTCATTGGGCAGGAGAGGGACTGCCACGACGTGTTCACCTCCCTGCTCAAGCTCTCCCAGCCAGGTACTGGGCTTGGCAATCTGTCCTGGGAATCTCTGGAGTGTTCCAAGCTGAGCCCCGGTTTCTCTGCTGCCCCACGTTGGGTTTGGGAGGGATCAGAATCAGTTTCCAGCACCAGGGACAATGGCAGGGAGCTGAGCTCTGTGGAGCAGGACATTGGCTTCCAAACTAAACACAGTCTTGGGAGCCAAGCAGAAAGATGGAGAGAGATTATTTATAGGGGCCTGGAGTGACAGATTCACACTGAGAGAGCAGGGTCACATGGGATATTGGGAAGGAATCCCTCCCTGTGAGGGTGCCCAGAGAAGCTGTGGCTGCCCCTGGATCCCTGGAAGTGTCCCAGGCCAGGCTGGAGCAGCCTGGGACAGTGGAAGGTGTCCCAGGGGTGGCACTGGCTGAGCTGTTGTCACCCAAACCTCTCTGTGCCTCTCTGGCAGTGGGAGTGACGTGGTTTCCCACGAGGAACTTCTGGAGAGCTGTGCAAAGTTCATATCCCAAACCTGGCCCCTGTCAGTCCCCTGTGTCACCCAGCTGTGTCCAGTTCTGCCCTTTGCAGCTGATCCAGGCATTCCCAGAATTCCCAAATCCCACAAAGTGGTATCTTTGCTGTGTTTCCAGCTGCTCTGCAGTGTTTACTCACTTGTGAAAGTTTGTGCTTCACCCTGCCCTGACTTGGAGTCACTCTTAGAGTGTGAGCCAGACTCCCTCAAAAACCTGTGTTCTCTTCTAGCTCCAGCTTTTTATTCCAGCATGGATGAATCTTCAGGCTTTTCTTGCAGGACAACATTCCACTGAGCTCCCACCTGGCTCTTGCCTCTGGCAGCTTCTGCTTTTGGGGTGCTGGAACCAGTATTTGGAGTTGTGTTATTTATTCCAAGGATGTCATTTGTAGCTGCAATTCGTGATGGTGTCACCAGGCTGAGGGAAGGGAATTCATGGCAGCTTCTTACTGGGCTGGAAATCCTGTAGGAGAAATGGGCTTTGCCCAGTTTAGGGTTGGTTTTTTTTTTAATTAATAATAAGGCCTGTGTTTATTCCCAACATCCCCCCTGTGCTCTTTGGAGTTTTCTCAGTTCTCAAGTTCTGCCTCTGATGCTGTAGCTGGCAGGTTTGTGGTGTTACATTTAAAAGCTGTCACTGCTCTTTGAGGTGTGAAAATTAGAGGTTTGGGTAGTGCCTGAAGCGTGGGAGGTGTCACTGCAGGGGCTCACACCAGTTTCCTTTGGTCCCAACTGTATAAATGCTGTAGCTCTTTAATTTCTTCTGCTTCTGGATTGTAACAGTGCAATTTTTTTTTTGTTTTAAGATGTCTGAGTGTGCTCCCTTCATGGATTTTTGGCAGAGCACATCATTACTGATGCCTTGCACACATGTGATGGACAGCTCTGGGTTACCTGCTCAGTTCCCAGCTGCTCTGTCAGCCTCTGACAGGTTCCCCCTGTCTCTGGAGCTGCCTTGGGAATCAGCTGGATGAGTTATTGGTTGGATTTGCACTTTGTGAAGAGAGGGAAGGAGGTTGGGATGGTAAATGGGCACTGGTCAGAGCCAGCCTGAAGCCTTTGTTTGGCTCACAGCAATATTCCAGACATCCCTCAAGTTTTCCAGTCTCAGAATTTGTTGTTGAGCAATGACCTTACAGGTGTGCAGGAGCTCTTGTATGAACTCTTCACAGAAAACAGATTTTTTTTAATCCATGTTTTCATGTGTGGGTTAATGGTCATGATAAAAATCTCATTTAACATTCTTACTGCAGTGAATTCAGGGGGAAATCATTTGTTTAGGAGAAATTACTTCTTCCAGCTTGGGCTAAAACACCTTGTCAGAATTAATGTATCTCCCTGCATTTGGGAACTGAGTACTGGAAATTCCTGAGGATTTCAGGATGAGCTTCAGCACTTGGTGCTATCCCAACTAAAAATCTGTAAAAGGTTCAGAAGTCTTAAATACTTTGAATTTTCTGGATTCTGGAAATCATTGATTTCCAGAAGTTTTGGCTTCCCTGGATGTCTTTGCATCTCTAACCTGTTGATTTTTTTTTTTCTTTCTCCTTCCAAGTGAAACCTGAAGAACTTTATGCTTTCTCTTACAATCCCAAAATGTCCAAAGAGAGCCGGGAGATGGGATGGAAGCTGATTGATTTGAGACTGGATTACCAACGTATGGGAATTCCCAACGACTCCTGGGAAATAACAGATATTAATAAAGACTATGAGGTAATTCCTGCCCAAAGGAGCCATTTCATGCACTAGCTCCTTGTTGTTATTAATGACAGCCCTGCTGCTGCCTCTGGGGAGGAAGGAGCTCTCTTGATTTGAGTCAAAACACATCATTTTGATGGGGAGTTGCAGATAATGATGCTCCAGGAGAGCTGCAGAGGCACCTTGTGTTTGATCCCCCTGGCAAGAGAGCAGAGCTTTGTTTTTCTGCAGAAATGTCAACCCATCTGTTAGGCAAAGTCTCGAGTACTCTGAGCTGCTTTTGGTATTTCCAAAGCCTGTCCCACCTGGCTGGTGGCAGATGGAAATGGCAGCAGTTTGGGTTGGTGGGGAAGGAGGCAGAGTGGAGAGGGAAGGAAGGGAAAATCAGCAGTGGGAAGGGAAAAACAGCAGCTTTTTGTGCTTTCTCAGTTGGATCTTCTGCTACCTCAGGGCCCTCTGTCACTTCAGTCTGAACTGCCTGCTGCTGTTATTTTCCCTGAAAGGCCAACTTGGATCTAAACAACATGAAACAAAACCATTTGTCAGCAAGCTTGTTCAAAATCCTGCTCCACATTATTTCCCTTTTTATTTCCTCTGGGGCTGTGTGCAGGCAGACCTGGCTGTTGAAAAGCAAGGCAAGCTACTCCAAGGAAGACACCAACACATTCATAACCCTGAATCCCTTTCCCTGGTAACTTTCTTTACTTTAAGCTGTGGATTGAAGAAATCCAAGCCAGTGCTGTGAGAGGTGACTGCCAGTTTTACCTGTGGAGGCTGAGTTGAGCTCTGATGTGAGAGGAGCTGCTTCCAGTGGCTGCTGAGGGCACCTGGACGTGGCCATCTCAAATCATTAATCCATCATCTCAAATCAAATCCATCTCAAATCCACTCCTTGCTGCATTGGTTCTTTAGTTTCCTCACAATTTCCAGCCTGTGTTTTAGAATTGTAAAGCCAGGCTTGGAGAGCAGCTTATCTGGGTAGGCTATGCTGCAAAGGCTGTGCTTGTTTGAGGAGAAAGGAAGAAAGGATGAAGCTGCTCTCTGAGGATTCCACCTGAGTGCTGGAAGTGCCTTTCAAGTTGCATAACGTTAAGAGAGAGCTTTTTAAATAGAGCTAATTTTTTTTTTTTTTTTTTTTGGAAAGGAATTTTTGGTTTTTTTTTTTTTTTTTTAATAAATTCAGGGGGGGCAGGCCCTGGAATAGAATTCCCAGAGGAGCTGTGGCTGCCTCTGGATCCCTGGAAGTGTCCAAGGCCAGGTTGGATATTGGGCCATTGGAGGAGCCTGAGATAGGGGGTAGGATGGCTTTAATGTCCCTTCCAGCCCAATTAAATCTAAATTAGAAACTTCCATCAAATTTCTGGATGTAAAGAACTTCCTTTCAATCTGTATTGTGCAGTCCAGTTTGAGGTTTTTAGGTTCAGCTGCCAAGTCGATTGTTTTCCTGAATACCTCATAACCTGATAAGCTAAAGCTGAATATTTCATGAATTTTGAAGTGCTCAGGAGCAATATTTATTTTTTTTTTTCCTCTCTTCTCCCTCAGGTTTGCAGCACATACCCTCCTGAGATCGTGGTGCCTCGAGCTGCCAGCAGGGCCGTGGTGATGGGAAGTTCAAGGTTCAGGAGCCGAGGGAGGATTCCGGTGCTTTCTTACTTGTACAAGGAAAACAATGTTAGTGCCTCACTGCCTGCTGCCTTGGGGGGAATGGGAGTTCTCCTTTTTGTCCAGTTCCCTCCTAAAGAAAGGAAAGAATAAGATAATTATTAGATTTGAGGCCTTGGAGGACTGTGCTTCTCTTAATGGCTTTCATTTTGAGGCACAGAATGAGCTAAAGGCAAATACTTGGAATGCATCCAGAGCTCTGCCAAAAGCACAGACTTTCCAAGCTTCCTGTTGGGAATTTTTTCTTAATCAGCTTTCAGCAATTCCTTCTGATGTGGGGTTTTTTAATCTTCTCTTTAGCTATATTGAATAATGTTTTACCAAGTTATATGTTGACTTGGCTGGATTTTCTTAGTATTGAAGAGGAGGAACCACCCTGAAATAAATCCCCACTAGTTCAGAATAACTGAAGGTTTCATTTTTTTTTTTTTTTCCACTGAAGACCAGAATGTAAATTTGTAACTTTGCTGCCTCAGCAGTGTTTTAGATGCTGATGTTAGGAAAATTCAGTCACAGCCAAATTGTTGTTTTCCTGAGGAAGCATGCCTTGACCTGGGCACTGCCTGGAGCTGTGCTGGAAACAAATGAAATTTCTTTAAAATACACCCAGTGCTGCTCTGAAAGTGCAACAGCAACAACTGATGAGGAAAACTAAAAAAAAATGGTTTAGAAATAGAAACCAAATGGAAAACATGAGAAATTGCTGCCTTGCAGTACCTTCAGGAGGCTCCTGGAAAAAGGAGGGAGAGGGACTTTGATATGGGAACAATATATGGGACTTTCCTATGAGGGCAAGTGGGAATGGGTTTAAACTGCCAGAGGGCAGGGGTGGATGGGATATTGGAAGGAATTGTTTGCTGGGAGGGTGGGGAGGCCCTGGCACAGAGCAGCTGTGGCTGCCCCTGGATCCCTGCGAGTGTCCAAGGCCAGGCTGGAGCTCCCAGGGGGAGTGGAAGGTGTCTCTGCCCATGGCAGGGGGTGGAATGAGATATTTTGAAGGTCCTTTCCACCCAACCATGGTGGGATTCCATGAACTGCTGACATCAGGCAGAGCAGACTGAGCCTCCTCACCCTCACTACTCCAAATTCCCCAAAACTATCACTTTGTGAAACAGCCCAGCGTGTGCACACCATAGCAGGGGCACAGAGCACAGTTAACCTGTGACTGCCACGGCTTTGGGCCATGAGGAGGGGCAGTGACAGCAGGGGTGACTCTCTGTGTGTTTCAGGGGCAGTTTCAGAGGTGGCTCTGTGACTCTCTGTGTGTTTCAGGGGCAGTGACAGTTTCT